TTCACACTTGGGTCAACTCAAATTAAGCAAATCTGCCAAACCAACTTAACAAATTTGGATTGTCATGTCAATCCAACACTACAACGTTTGGATCGTGCGACGGTGTCTTAAATCCCATTCAGAATATAGAAGGCCATAAAAGTGGCTTACGGGAGCACTGCCTCATATTCCTGACCGTATACTTCCTCTACTATGAACTGCTTTGCAGCTGAATTCGGATCCAAAGCAAAGTTGAACGACTGTTGCCTTCCCCAAAATAATCCCTTGATAACTCTTTACCGGACGTCGCATACCACTCTAGGCAAAAGCAGATGGTGAGTAAAATTTGATCACTCTATGGTTACCCTCCATGCGCACAGAGTTTTGACAGAAGTCATTTCAGGCAAAACAAAACAAAAAATTATACGGTGCTTGGTACGTTGGCAGAAGGGAAAATCCAGCAAATGCGTTGACGCCGTGGAAAGATTGCCTGTCTCTGATTAAGCGCACTGGCAAAAACAGCGAATTGAATAGCTTACTCGCAGCCGAGGGTCGGCTGAAGCACGACTGCAGAAACGGCCTTGGCATTTAGCGAGCGATGACCTCTAAAACGGACAAAGCTAACTCTCTCAGTGCGGATCCACACCCACGCTTCCTGCTGGGTGCACGGTCCCATTTCACATAGGCATGCCGTACAAGAGATAACTGTGCGTCAACCTCGGAGGCTCATTCACGGCATGACATTTTTCTGTGGGGTATGCAAATCTGAATTCAGCTTTAACCAAAAATTACAAAGATAATTCCGGTGCTGGGCTGACATCAGATGAGAATGCCTATGTTAGAGTGAGGAAGGACAAAGAGGTAAATCAAGTCCAATGGCATTTTATTTTTTATGCTTAGTCAGACTGTCTCTAAGGGGACGTCAAACCTGTATGGGCAGTTTACCTCGCGTTTATGTCACATACAAAATTTATCATGCGTAGGCGGGTGCCATTAGCCAGACCCAAATCGAAATCGGTGACGAATAGAGAATCGCGTGCGGTTAAAAGGCCTACGAGCCATGGTAAAGAGGATAACCATAACAAACATTTTTGCATGGTTGCTACTTCCGCCAGTCGCATATGCATGTACGTTCTCCACTAATTAGTGATGTCTAATACACCACTAAACCGTTTTCATACCGGTTAATTGACGAACCCAATGAAGATC